TAGCAGCTTATTTATCTAAGTGATTATTCAAGCGATCTAGACCTCTTTTGAGCAACATGCATTCACAAATGATATTAAAAAGAACATAACAGGGGCCAGGGATTTAGCTCAGTGGTTTTGCCGCCTGCTACGCAAGCACAAGGACCCGAGTTCAATCCCGGCTACAAAAAAAAAAGAACATAACATAGTTATTTCCTTTGGAACTAAATGTTGAAATATTAATGGATAAAAACAAACTGACACATTAAGTTCAAAGGATGTGATATCCCTATTCAGAGAGATGAACCGAATTATGTCAGCTAAGAGAAAGTTAAGGGGAAAACAGAATAAACAAGAAGTAACCATTAAAAAATAAATTCTTAGGTCTGGGGATTTAGCTCAGTGGTTCTGCTGCCTGCCTTGCAAGTGCAAGGTCCCAAGTTCAATCCCTGGTACCAAAAAAAAAAAAAATTCTTGCTGGGTTTGGTGGTGCTTGCCTGTATCCCAGCACTCAGGAGGCTGAGGCAGGAGGATTGCCGTAAGTCTGAGGCCAGCCTGTGGTACATAGTGAGTTCAAGGTCAGCCTGAACTACATAGCATGACCCTGTCTAAAAAAACAAAAACAAAAACTAAGTAAGTTCTTAAGGACAGTTTTTCCTCCCACTAAAATCCAGCCTACTTATTTCAATAATACTATAAATTTATAATTTCTGATATTTTATATGCCCAAAGAGCATATTCTTTTTTTATTGATTTAATTGTATATATGCTTTTTAAACCCTCATACAAAGAGTCATAATCAATGCTAATCAACTTTGTAGCACTCATTTAGATCTAAAACTACGAGTGCCCACAAGATGCCTGAATTTTATCCACCAAGTGACCCAGGTAGATGTGAAGTAACTGCAGGATTTCACACAAGCCTCTGCAGACCACACTCTAAAATGCTAGGGGTGGTTGAAAAAACTAATTAAGTGACTATTTCTTTCTAGTTAAGCAAACAAATAAGCACACAACAGAAAACATGCTACTGCAAACTTCCATAAGCAGTTTTAACAATGCCAATACAATAATTTCTTCAAAATGATGACTCTGTTGTTTAAAGTTTAGCTTACTCTTCATTGTAATTTAAAGAAAACAAGCTATTTGAACAGCACATTTTGATACTACTGTTGTGGGGTCCATGTCCCCCCTGCCTGAAGCTGGGCCAGTGACTTGCTCATACCAAGTGGACGCAGAAGGGATTCTGAGTAACTTCCAGGTTAGGTCAGTTGCTGCCCTGCTCTGTGAAACACTCACTATAGAATCCATTTTACCAGGGGATTCAGCATTGGGTTTTCAGTCAAAGCACAAATTTTCCATTTACTATTTATAGATCTTTCCATGTGCTATTGTTTCTTGTCAATATACCATCCTTAGGGACTTCAAGGAGAAGAGGGGCAGTTGTAATGAAGCAGAATTTAGCCATTCCTGGATTCTCCAGCCACAACACCACCACACTACACCATTAACCTGACATGAACTAGCTAAAATAGCAGTGTCAGTAGCAGCCACTATAATCTAGGAAGGCAGGATATTTAAAAATTTAAAGATAGAATTGTCGATTGCCAGTTGAAAACATGTCTTTTGCTCCACTTTATACCCTGGAACATTCTTTCAATTTCATTTGCTGTAAAACCCTAACCAACCTGCCAAACTTTTTAATCCTTACATTTCTAGTCCAACAAATTTCAGAAATAATGTTTGATTGAATAAAGAAAACTCTTGAAAATATTTCAACACAGTCTTCTCATGTCGAAAACAAACTTAAATCTTATTAACCAAAATCAAGAAATACTTAACTTTTAAAGTACTGTGAGGTAAAAAGACAGTGCAGACTCTCTATCCTAAGAGGTTATCCTAAGAGGTTAAGATAAAAATATGCACTGAACTAGTGTAAGGCAGAATAGGGTAAGTCCTGTAAGAAAGACAAAACAGGACAGACTGATTGGGCAGGCAAGAAAGAGCAGTACAAAGGATATGAATAACCTCTCCAAGCCCAGGATTTTCAGTTTCTTTGGTCTCCATCTGCTCCAAATCCTAGACCTTACCTTCACCTGAAATCTTTCCATCTTTCCAATCTCAACTTTTGGAATCCTTTTTCAGATTAACTCTAGTTCTTCATTAGGGGGAACTCGTATCCCTTCCTCCATCAGTCTCCACAGAAAAGAAGACTGTATTGTTCACTTCCCAGGAGAAGGCAAGTGGTTCCTCCAGTTCGTATGATGAAATTCATTTATCCTAGTCCACCCTACTCTCACTTTCGAGGAAGGAGGAATAAGCAACATCTTGACCTTACGCCTCCAAAAATTTATCAGAAGCCCTGTATTCAGTAGTTAGTGAATTCTTCTCAGCTGTCTCTGACTCTTTGTATTTTATTTTCAAAAACTGAGAATGGGGAAGGGAAAGATGAATAAGTTGATCCTTCAAATATCCATCAGTCCAAATCAGGAAATGAGAAGCTTTTTGTCCAAAATGCCCTATAAACCATCAGCTCTGGATCAGTTCATTTATTTGTTCTCTATTCACACTTAAAGAATATTCTATAAGCACAGAAACTGAGGGCATTACTAAAAGTGCTGTCCAATCTTTGGTAGGCAATATTTATATCTAGTAATCTACAGGTCCCAATTCATTTCCAATACTTTCTTTCTACAGAAGCTATTTCAAACCTTCCTAAACTCTCACTCTTAAAGATAACCTTTTCTTCAATTTCACTGAGAAAATTAATTTCCTACCTTACCTGGCTCCTACACCCTTCTCTTTACTCAGCAATTTGGGGCGGGGCGGGGGGGGGGTACACTGAGGACTAAACCCTGGGCCCCAGCCCTTTTTTATTCTGAGACAGAGTCTCACTAACTTGCTATTTTGCCCAGATTGGGCTTGAACTTCAGATCTTCCTGCCTCAGCCTCCCAGAGTGCTAGGATTACATGTGTGCACCAACACCTGGCTGGCTAATTATACATTAATCTTGCTCTATCAATTATTCCCTCTACTGAATCTTCAACTCTTGGTTCTAGCAGTTCCTTCCTCTCTTCATATAAACACACTCAAAACCCATTTTTAAAACAAAACAAATGAACTACAACAAACCACCAGAACATCTTCTGGCTATATCTCTTTTCTTTTTAATAGCCAGGCTTTAGAGAAAAGAGAGTTCTGTCCGTCTTCACTTTGTATTCACAGTGCAGTCTAATGCACGCCACCCCTCCCTTAAACTACTCACATCAGTGTGGTCAAATGAGCTTCAAGTTCACAAAGCCAGCAATCATGGTTCCAATTCTTCTTTGACTTGACTTCTCTACAGCATCTAATGTTCAACAATTTCCATCTCAAAACCCTCCTTCTACTGGGTTTTTATGACATCATTGCCTCCTGATCCTTCTTCTTTACTAAAGAATACTCTCACTCAGTCTTTACTGGTCAAACCTTACATTTTAACATTTTCCCAGGATTCTATTCTTGGCTTTCCTCTTCTCAAACTAAACTCTCCCTGGGGAAGAAGGAGAGGGAGAGGAATATTTACACTATGAATTATCCCACATGTCCATAAATCAATAAGACTAAATCTGAATTCATTTGCCTCTTTCCCTGCACCTTCCCTCTACCAATGCTCACCTCAATCAGACACTCCCTGGATTTGTTTATCTGCCTGACTCCCCTGTCCTGGGTAGAAAGCCAAAAGAATGGGCACAGCACATTAGTGTCAGTAGTAGTGGCTTCCTGCAGTGGGGATTGGGAGTATGGATGGGCACGACAAAAGAAACGTATCTCCTCTGAGATGCAAAACAAAAGCAGTGACTCTTAGAGCAGCTAAGAAATATGCAGCTATACAGTATCCCACGTGAGCTTCACTGAACTAGCTTGTGAAGATCTGGAGGTAAATTTTGTATCTATCTGTAAATACTACATACATATGTCTTTGAATTTCTTGTGCTTAGCAAACAAATGCCTAGCACATTGTAGGAAATCAGTTCGTATTTTGTGAATGATCAAAGTAGAAAAATAGAATATTTTGAAGAACTGGTAAGGTTTCAGCAGCTACAGATCTGGACGAGTTCATTCAAGACAGGGAACGGGAAAGCTCTGGCAAACATGAAACTGGTGGGGTGTGCAAAGACAAATAATTATCAGTAACATTAGAATCCTGAGGCATGATCTTGTAGGACTTTATGGCTGAATTTACAGGCAATGGGAACAGGCTAGGCCTTTTTTTCTTCCCTGTACTGGGGATTGCACCCAGCACCTTAGCACTGAGCTATATTCCCCATCCACTCTTTTCCTATCTTTCTTCCTTTTTCTCTTCTCTCTCTTTTGTTTTAAAAGAGCATCTCACTAACTCACTAAGTTGCCCAGGCTGGGCTCAAACTTGTGATCCTCCCAGGGTGCTGGAATTACAGGCATATACTATGATGCCCAGCTCTAGCTAGGTCTTCCAAACAATGCAATCTGTGATTGTACAGAAGAAACTGGAGCAAAGGACACTTCTTAAGTCGCTCTTAAATGAATCACCTATGTGAGAAGAAATGAAAGCCTGAACTTTATCAACTGTCTGAGCAACTGAAGTGAAAACAGAAGAGAAAACGTTATTTTTGAGATTGTTGATAAATGACAACATTTTTGAATATTCAAGAATAATGGGGTTAATTGAAGTATTTAAAGAAAGTGAAAAGTTTTAAAGCACTAAAATTAAAAAGTCCAAAAAGAAAAAGATACGTTTAAAAAATACACTTGAACCTAAATTTATTGAGTTAATGGACCATGAATGGAATTGAGTATTAGAATATACAAAGTAGTTAACAGAGTATATTGTGTTAGTAAGAACCCAATGCATGTGCTCACTTCAGGGGCACATATACTAAAAAAAGAACCCAATGCACATAAATTGACACCCAGTTGATAATTGAACAAGGCATCTGAACATGTTCAGGAAAAGCTATTGTGAAACCTTGAATAGGGATTTAACAGAATATAACCATACCGTGAAGCTGTTGTTGGCGTTTTTTGTGCTTGCTTCAGCTACACTGGCATCTGAGAGGTCAACTTCATCAAATATTAGAGACTGTTATCGAAAAGAACACAAACACATTAGATGACTACCTAGATCCATGCACTTTAATCATTTTTACTATCAGATCATAACCATGAAAGCTATGTCAAGAATTAGAAATAGAAAATGAAAAAACAGTTAATTTAGTGATACTCTGCAAGTTCTTTTTAGAAAGGATAAGTAAACCCATAAAGTACAACTCATGAATCCCACACTGAAAAGGATTTCAAAGAACCCCAAAGCACTGTTTGAAAGCAATGCTGTGTGCTCTCTGGAAGTACAACTGGTATTATTTATGTGGAACCTACTGAGAGTACCTCGTGTACAAGAGCATAGGTACAAACACACACATACACACACACACACACACACAAGTTTGTAACAACTCTGCCAAGGAGGCAGAGGCTATGTCATTGCTCCCAGGCTGGCTAAGTGGGAACTGAGAACTAGCTTTTGCTCACATCATGGTCAGTTACCAAAAATTCTGAATCTTACTCTCCTCATCTCTAAGTCTAAGATAATATTCCTTTTATACTCTAAAATGTTGTTTTAAATCAAATGTGTTAGTGGTAAATCTCCATGGAAATAAAATTTTTAAAAATCAAACAAATTAGCAATTAGGAAATTCTAGCAAATAAATGTACCTTTCCTACTTTTTGAGAGCTGGTCATTATTTATACTCATTCAGTGTTCTTCCAGTAAGGCTGACATAACAATAATCCTCTAGGACTGCAGAAAAAGTGTCCCCCTTTTCTGATGGGAACACACACCCCACTTCCCGCACTACATCCTCACAGGGTTAGGCCAATCTACTTGAATTCAACCAATCAGACTCTAAAACTTGTCTCCTAACTGGAATAAATTTACTATCTAGCACAGGAGATGAAACTGCCAAAACTAAATGTAGAAGACAGACTATTAAAAGTGGAAAAGACTGCAAGTGCAAGGTCCTGAGTTCGATCTCCGTTACCAAAAAAAACTTGGAAGAGAAAAAACACAATGCTAGAGAAAGTCACTGATGGATTTTCCAATAAAAATAAACTCCTTCTCTTGTGAATGATGGAATTATGCCTATTAGAAGGAAGCTGTAAAGAAAATGGGGTTTCATCAAGTGGAGATATAGGGAAAGTCACTCTACAGATAGGACACATGGTCCAAAGATGAAGGCTGTCAAGCAGTCATTGTTTCTAGAGATAAAAATTAAAGACAGGACAGAGCCAGATCAGGGATGGCCTTGAACATCTTGACTTAAAATAAGAATATTTTATTTGGTTATTATTTCTACATAAATATTTGGTTATTACTTCTATTGCAGCAGCATAAACTATGAATTAGGTTTTTTGTTTTTATTTCCTTGTTTATGACTCTACTAATTATACCAGGAATATAAATTTTTTTAAATGGAATGATTAATTATTCAACTGTCATAGTAGCAAGAAATCTTACTATTTATTTTTGAGGTAATACTAAAATATCAATTTTAATGGGGGCTCATCATTATAATTGTTCTCCTTGCATTGTTATGTATTAAAATGCCACATAAAAATTATTTTAAGTGTTGACTTTATTTCAATATGATGTTTATTCTTAATTGCTAGCATGTTGGAGTGATTGGGTTATGCCAGATACTAGGTAAGCATTTGATGTACATTATCATCTTTAAGCTTCTTCTCAACAACGCTTGCTAGCCACAGCCACTCAATAGAGTGTGCTGAAATTAGGATAGGAACTCTTAACCAAATTCTAAGCATGAGTTCTTAGCATCTCTCTCTTGCTCTCTTTCTCTCCCTCCTTCCCTCTTTCCATCCCACCCTGCCTCTTTCATATCTTCAGGAAAAAATTTTAAGGTAAAAAGTAGCAGAGATCCCAAAAAGATTTTATTATATTTAATAAGATTATATTTAATGCTTTACTTTAATTGGGCAGGAATAAAACTGTACTACAACTTTCCTATAAGATTATTCTTAGAGACCTGTTATGGGACTGACTCAAAAAAATCCTCTTGGGATGGGGTCCAAGATGGATCATAATTATACAGAATCTATTTAAGAGCAGTAATGGTATGGTGAGACTCCAAGGCATTTTATCCAACCACAATTTTAAAACCATCTACAATCTCAAGCACTTAAAACTAATATTCTTCTGAATTACCTTTGAGTCCTTTGCATAATAAAGTGTTCGTCCTCGAAGTTTAAAATATCGTTTTTTCCACCTTTGGAAAGAACTGGTTTGCTTCAGTAGCTGTCCCTCTTTAATACTGGTCTGGGGAGAAGCAGAAACACAATGACATGAATTTAAATTATATCTGAAACCAGAATCAATGACACGTGACCTTTAATATTTTTAATAATATTTCCCACGTTTTAAAAATTATGAGAATATTTTGATCTCATTATAATTGAATCAAGGGAACACATGCAGAAATCCCAGAGCAAAAATGAATGACATGGTTTTCTGCCCTCAAAGAAGTCACAAAAAGCATGAAAGACACATGCACACAAACTAAGATCTGCAATCCAGTGTGATGTGCACATTATCTTGTACATAGAAAGCACAGCACAGATGCGTATTATGTGCTGATTATGAAACCAAATGGGCTCTGCAGCCAGAAACCTTGTATTCCATTCCTAGCAATACTACAGATAGCTGGATGATTTAGGCAAGTTACTGAACTTCTTCATGTCTTACTTTATTCATCTGTAAAATAAGGATGTTAGCAGGGCAAACCTTATAGGGCTGGATTGAGGAACAAATACCAAACATGTAAAGGACACATTGCATAGCATGCAGTAAGTATTCATTTAATGTTGGTTATTACAACAAATATCTCTATATTTTCTCCCATGCTGATCTTATTACTCATCTCCACAAATTTCTTTCCATCTTCCAGTATGTAACATCATTTACTTATTTATTATGCTTATTGTACTACCCCTATTAGAATATAAAATTCCTGAGTTTATTATATCTAATAAAGTTAAATTTACTGTTTTGTTTTAATTGGAAGGAAAAGGGGAAGGGGAAGAAGGAAGGAAGCAAACCACACTGGAGCATTCCTATAAAATTATTCTCAGAGACAAGTTACAAGACTGGTTCAAACAGACTCCACTGGGATGGAGTCCAAGAGAGCTGACATTTATACTGAATTCAATAAAGAGTAATAATGCTATAGTAAGCCTCTAAGATAAAAACAGCTGATAGAACCAAAGTTTTAAATCATTCCATTGGATTGCACACTGATATAATTCTAGTGCCATGAATATTGTTTAGCATACATGATAATGAGAGCTGTATGAATAAATAGCAAGTGCTGAGATTAGACCCCTATTTGTTGGATTCCAGAGTTTATTTGCAACTTTCACACCATATTGTCTCTTATTATCAATAAAACATAAAATATTCAGCAAAGTTTGTTTTCTCCAGTAAGGTAATTAAGTTATATTAATGTTTACTTTCAATTTCAGTAAGAGATTTCCTCTAGAGCTTGCTCTAAGAGTATCCTCCAGGAATTAAGACACCATTGAAATTTAATAGTAATAAAATACTTTTTAAAACTTCAGTACCAAAGAGCTCACTTAGAATCAGAAAGACAGTCCTCAAGGCAGCTCTACCATACACTAACAGTATGAACGGGGCCTGTTACTCCAACTCTCTACGCCCTAGTTTTTTCTCCAAAAAATGGGAAGAACAATACTAACTTCACAAGCTTGTTGCAGCTCATTTCATGATAAGATAATGTCTGCAGAGCACTTAGTACACTGTCTGGGTTACAGAAAACACTCAATAAGTGGCAGAAAGTGTTATGATTATGATATCATTATGCTATTAAGTTCAGGGAGTATTTTCCAGGCAACAAATTATAAGAGCTTCTTGGGAAAAATAAATAAGCATTTGCAGGCCACTGTCAGGGCAAATAACAGCTGGAGTGGATGGAGCGTATCAAGAGATGAGGTTATGAGATGAGAGCCAGGACACATTGGCCATGACAGGGAGTGTGCTTTTTATTCTAAGTGCAAAAAGCTAGTGAAATGTTTGAGGCAAGAGAGAGACAAAGAGGAAATGGGTTCGAAAGGAGGTAGAGAAACAATTAAGAGGCTGCTGCAAGAGTCTAGGGGGAAGGACAAACACTCCAATTAGGTTTGTAGCATCACTCATCGAGATGGAAAGAAATATGGGCATTTGAGATGTTATTGTGGAGGAACATCTACTGGACATACTGACAGACATAAAAGGTAAAAGAAAGAAAGAAGAAAAAAAACAAGGGAAAAGTTCATATTCATTTAGCTCAGTCAACCAGATGCAAAAGCCTGGGTAAGAAAGAGGTTGATAGGGAGAGTGGACTGTTTGAGAAATTAGAGGGAAAAATGGCTCAAAACATTTGTTCTTAAAATTCTTATGGCAGTACAATCAAGAGGAAGACTAAAATATGCTAGAGTAAGCCAGTGAAAACTGTGAACCCACTTGAAATTGAGGTGTCCTAGAGGACAGCCCTAACCCATTCACAGAAACCCTCTGAGATTGGAGGTAAGAGGGGACCATGCATCAAGGTTACACATCCCTAATGGAGCCCTACCAGCCAAGTGTTAGCTCCTTTACTAGGGTGTACCAGAGAGTAGTTGGTCCCCAAGCTTCTGCCTCTAGAAACCTAGGACTCTTGAGAGAAACATGCAACCCTGGCTTATGTCACTTTATGGTGCAGAAATTTCATAATAACATTCGAAACTGCCACATCAGAGATACTTATATCCAAGTAATAAATGGTGGTACAGAAAGCTTAAAAAGAAGTATCAAATCTAAGGCTGCTATTGGCACATGCTCCTCCTTCCTGCCCAAAGAGTGGCTATAAACTGAAATATTCCTCAAAGACTGTGAGGTATTCTTGAGTTAAATTATACAATGGGACTTAGGTACTTGCAGTGTTTAAGTAAAGACAACGAGAGGGGCTAGGGACAGAGCGCTTGACTAGCATGCTGAAGGCCTTGGGTTCTATCGAAAAGAAGGAAGGAAGGAAGGAAAGGAAGGAAGGAAGAGAGAAAGAGAGAAAGGAAGGAAGGAAGGAAGGAGAGAGAGAGAGGAGGGGGAGAGGAGGGACGGAAGGAGGGAGGGAGGGAAGAAAGGAAGAAGGAAGAAAATTGATTCTCCAGTAGAAAGAAACCTGATCATGGATCTTCAAAGTGTACTCCCAAAAAAGAGGTCAAAATGAGTAAGAATCAATCAGATAAGGAAATATTTTACAAAACTCAAAAAAGATCAAGAATATTAATTACACTCAACTACCAATACACAGGCTAAGGGAAAGGCTATGAATGAAACTCAAAAATACAAGGCAACAGGAACAAGCTAGAAAGTGAAAGGGTTGTGAAAAAAGGCATTTCAATCAGAAACTAAAGTGGAGGGACAAAAAGCCATGTGTGGAAAAATGCTGTTGCCCAGAAAATCAAAAGGGAGCCAAAGAAGTAAAAGCAGTGTAGATGTTTAACACAGTATAGACCTGTGGGAAATCAAAAATTTAGGGAAATACCTATGATTTCATAGGCAGTGATGACAAGAAGCACTTGAAAGAACAACTGCATATTTTAAATTTCTTCCAGGCTAACTACATAATTTAAGAGTGAGCATATAATTTGCAACCTCAAATTCTCCTGAAGAAACGGTTCTCAAACTTGATGGTATATCCGAACTACCACAAGTTTTAAAAGTACTGATTCCTGGGTGCCACTCCCAGAGAGTCAGATTTAATTAGCCAGAAGTTCATCCCAGGTATCAGGAATTTCTAAGTGTCCCAGGTAATTCTAACATATGCCAGAGTGGAGAATCACAGGCTTAGACTAGGATAGGGTCTAACTGGGCATCCAAGCCAGTTACAGTTGGTCTTAATCTTTGGATTAAACTAACCACAGATGGAGAATATTGGGGGAAAAACTGTTACTATAGTCTATGTGTGTATAGACTATTTTCTTATCCTTATTTTCTAAATAATATAACTATTTACATTTATTAGTTATAAGTAATCTAGAGATTATTTGAAGTATATAGAAAGCTGTGCATAGGTTAATGCAAATGCTATGTCATTTTACAGGGTCTTAAATCACATACCTTTTTTCTTTTTTATCGATATATGTTTGCAATATACGATGTTTACATCTGTTTGGGGGAATTGGTACATGTATATAACACATGTTGATTGTTTTCAGTTACCTTTCCCCCACTTCCCTTGATCTCTTACCCCTTCTTCAAAAAGTCTGTCTTTATTTTATTCTTCATATTTTAGCTTCCTCATATAAAAGAAACCAAGCAATATTTCATTTCCTGTGTCTGACTTATTTCACTTAACATTAAGATCTCAAGATCCATTCAATCCCTTACAAATAATATTAATTCATTCTTTATGGTTGAATAAAATTCCATTGTGTATATATACATGTTTTATCTATTCATCCATTGATGAGCCTCTTTTTGAGTCAAAGAATATCTTCAAAGTATTTGGCTAAAGTGATTATAATTTTTACAGTAAATTCAAACTTATCCTCAAAACATTCCTTCCCTTCATTCTATCATCTGAAGGTAAAAGCACCCCCTACTTCTCTGTGTAACTAAGCATGCAAGCATACTCTGTGCACAATGACATGATATGCTAACAGCCTTGTCTTTCTGAACCAGGATAAAATGTTATGAATTATGAAGAAAGACACTGTCATTCTTTTTTTATTTTTGGTACCGGGGATCGAACTCGGGTCCTTGCGCTTGCACAGCGGGCGGCGAAACCACTGAGCTAAATTCCCGGCCCAACACTATCATTCTTTACATGAAATGCTAAATGTGATGACATCATGCGCCATTCATCCCTTCTCATCCTCCTACCTGCTTTGCTTTCTTCTACCTCAACCAACCAACATATGTAACTTCTGCTAGAAATTATGTAGTTCAGCTATGAGGAATTATGTCTCTCATCAAGACCTAGTCTGGTAGGAGAGATATGATTTTCATGCTACTCCTCAGAAAGAAGTCTGATTTTATACATTTCAAACACAAATGGCAACTATTAATTAAATAGTCCTTATTCTTGTTGATTGTGAAAAGTTCTCCTCTGAGACAGACTTCCCGGCACAGATGAGGCAGAATCATCTTCACATTAAGCTACTAACAAGGCTCTAAGGGCTGAAGCTCTCTGTACCAGGAACCTGGGTATCACACTGGAACCAAAAGTCCATTTTCCCACAGAAACCACGTCATATATATGCCTTAGTGGTCAAGTCCCCAGG